GCTGCCTCCCAGCCCCAGATCCAGCCCTGGGCTCCGGGAAGGCACCAGAGACGGGCGATGCTCCCCACTGTGCTGCCCTTGCCACTGCTGTGTGTGAAACCCAGCACAGCGGGGGGCGCAGAAAGCTCCTGCCGCTCTAAGCTCCCCGCTGCCCTGGCCACACATGCCCTGCAAGCGGGGCATCAGCGAGGGGCTCAATCCTGCGTGCTGCCCACACTGCTCCCATGCATGCAGGGGAAGTGTAACCCAGGCAGCGTGGAGCTTGCCGCAGCAGGCAGCTTCCCTGTGCAGGAGGACCCAGGGGAGGGCAGCAGAGCCTGAAGCGCAGCATGTGTGAGGGCAGCACAGCAGGGAGCATGGCTGGTATTTGCTGCCTCCCTGGAGCCCAGGGCTGGGGCTGGGAGGCAGCAGCTGTTTGCAGCCTCCTGGCTGCAGCTGGTCCAGGTTCCGGGTAGCTGCTGATAGCCACAGAGCCTGGGCTGGGGGGCAAGGGGCACAAGCTGGGCATCCTGCCCTTGTTTTGTTTTTTTGGCGTGCCGGCACTCCAGCACCTTCCAAAGTAGGCATCGTGGAGGGTTTTGGCACTCCGACCAAAAATCGTTGCCTACCCCTGGACTAGCCTATCAAGCTAAAAACAGACAGCTGGCTTTATTCAAATTTGAGTATTTTATCTTGCAGCAAACCCCAGACCTTACAGATGGACAAAACCCATTTTCCCATATTAAGTACCTGTGAATTATCTGAATTGGCACTTTGCCTTGGAATAATCACAGTTAATTTGAGTTAATTGCTATTTAAGCTTCATGTGTAGATGACTGTTTTTCAACTGTTTTGATGCAAGCCATACCCCAAACCAATCAGAGCTGCATTAAACTGGTTGTGCCTCTTTAGTCTCCGAGGGGCTACAACCAGCTTGGAAAGATATGCCTGTGTAAGAAGCTATCCCTGTCCTCTTTTTCCCAGGTTTTGATCAATCAGGACTGCTTCAAATGAAACAGCTGCTTATAGTCTTTCTCACTATGAGGATGATTAGGCACTGGAATAGGCTACTTAGAGAAGTGGTAGAATATACATCCCTGGATATTTTCAAGAGCAGGTTAGACAGACGCTTGGCTAGGACGAGTTAGTCAGGGATGATCCTGCCTAGAGCAGGGGACTAGATCAGCATTTTTCAACATGTAGATCATGACTAAAAAGCGGGTTGCAAACATATATGAAAAGGTCCCAAACAAACTTTAAAAATGGATCAACAAACTTACATGGGAAACCGTGGCTTTTCCCTTGCAGGCTGTTACAGTTCCAGTCTGCAAGGGGCTGCTTGCCAACCCCACCCACATCCCCACTAGCCCATATACCCACCGCCTCCCCACACACTAAGGGGCTGGGGCTGGAGCCTGGGGGTGGGGGGCAGCATGTTGGGAGTGAAGGGCACTGGGTCGGGACTGGTCATCAATGTTTACAAGTGGGCCCGGGTACAAAAAGTTTGAGAACCGCTGGACCAGATGACCTCATGTGCTCCCTTCCAGCCCTACTTTTCTATAATCCTATGAAGTTCTCTGTACATAACTAGGGCCCTGAGAAAATCGCAGTTTTGCAGACTGCGCAGATACCATGACATTCTCCCCACACCACGATTTTTAACGGTTGTGAGCATAAGCTAGGGCTAATGGGGCTTAGCCCCTGCAAACATGGAGCAGCGGTGGCAGCGCAGGGGGCAGCCCGTGAGTGGGCTCTGGACAGCTGCAACACGGGGAGAGGCATGCATAGACACAGGTATGGAGCCTGCAAACAGCCAGGATTGCAGCCAGACAGCATGCGGAGCACTGCCCACCACTGCAGGCAAGTCAGGGAAGGAGAAGGGGTGGGGGTGCAGATCAAGACCCCTACAGTTAAGGAGGGTGTGGGGCAGGGCTTGGGGCAAATGGGGCCCTGAGGCCGGGGTGGGTTGTGGGATGGTCGGAGCCATGGGTGGCTCATCCAGGGATGCAGGGGCCTTCTGCTGCTGTGTGCACCCCGAGGGAGGCACAGGGGGCATGCATGCCCCAGATTTGTGCATGGGGCATCGCAGAGGTGGGCTACTGCTGTGTGCCAGGTGCTGCGCCCCGCTGCCACTGCCTCAGGAGCCCAGCAGCAGCAAGCACGTGGCATCACGCACGGCAGCCAGCTCCCGAGGTAGCGGGGCACAGAGCCCAGCCTGCAGCAGCAGCCTGCCTCTGCTCCACACACAACTCGGGGGGCTTGCACCTCCTGTAGGGTGGTGGCTCCCACAGTGGTGGGAGCCCCCCCGTGTCCCTGGATGAGCTACCCAGGCTCCAGCCATCCCACCAGCCGCTCCAGGTCCCCATTCACCCCTGCTTCTGTCTCTGCCCCACTCCCTCCCTCACTGTGGTGGGCAGTGCTGCACACGCTGTCTGGCTGCAATCCTGGCTGCCAAGGGTTCCCTCGACCAGGCAAACTCCCCAAAGACAGACACTGCCTTATCCAGCACCGAAAATAGTGGCACATTAAATGGTGCCCCAGCTACAAACTAATCAGTCGACTTCAAGAACCAGCACTGTGTTAGGTTAGGAACACCGGCAAACCAGAACAAGCATCTTCAGGACGTCTGACAGACCATTAGGCCAGTAGCATTAAATCAACACTGACTTGTGCAACCTTGCGTGTGTGCAGCAGACTGACCTGGTATTGTAACTTGTGTTGGACTTGGAAACACCAAGCCAGTGATTGCCAGCCAGGTGCCGTGGCATCCTGAGGAGCCAGGGGATTCTTTGAAGGCTGCCACGCGATGTTAACAGTGTTTGGTGTGCAAACTTGGTTTACAAAATAAACCAGAGATTTCAAACAGGAGTCCGCATGGTTAAAAACATTCTGACCTGCTGTGGTTTTTCTGAGCAATAGAAAAACTGTTATGTTCATTTTCTGTAGTCAAAAAACTGAGAGCCACTATTTTTCCAGGGGTGCTTCGAGTCTAAAAAAAGTTGAGAACCGCTGCACTGGGCGGTGCTGTCACATCCATGCTTTTAGCGAGGCTAGCGCTTCATCCAGTAGAGGGCATTAGTATACAACACACATACCCATGCACCATAAGACAGACGGACAGAGTTCAGTATGACTCCCGTGGCGAACAGAAGGCTCCTATTGACTGCAGTGGGAGCTGGATCAGTCTCAAGCAGCGCATTGTGTCACCGGTGCTTATTTGTGCAGCTAATGAATTGGCCCATTGTTGTGCTCCGAGGAATTCCTAGTGTTGTTTTGGACCACGTTCCAGACTTCTCTGGATTTCTTGCCAGTGAGTGTTTTAGTTTCATGCCATTGAAGGGCAGATTGTTTTGCATTTGATATGAACTGAGCCACTGATACATTGTCTCCTTTTCTTCTGTACCCACTAATTTCCACTTCTGTCTTCCCCTTCTGCCTTCTTCAACAAGCTGTTTAAAAAGAAACTGTAATGAAACAAATTAATTAGCTCCAGCCTCCAGTGTTAGCCATGAAAAATCCTTTCGGATTAACTCTCTGAAAAAAGACTTTGCCTAATGCAGAAAGTTATGGCTACGCTTGAACTTTACTTTGTAATTTTTTTTTTTTTTCCATTTTAAATCTTCTCTGAAAGATTAGTCACAAGCTGGTACTTCCTGCCACTTTTCACCCAGGGATTTTTGGCTGTCGGTGAGAGCTAACAGTAGATAAATGATGTATGAGCCATGATGACTCGACTCCTGCTGCTAGAAGCATTATGTATTTCAACTGCAATCAGAGCATATTCCAGCTAGTTATCATTCTTAATTTTCCAAGTACTGTAAAATGAATCTTTCCCCTCCTAGCTTGCAGTGCTTGTTCTCTAATAGGCTTAGAAATGTGTTGTGGCTTTTGGTTGGTAGGTAGGTGGGTAGAGAAGAAGGAGAGCTGGCCAGGGTAAGGAGAGTGGGTTAGGAGACAGGGCACGAGAACTGAAGTCAGAAGACTTCAGTTCAGCTCATAGCGCAATCACAAATTTCCAGCCAGGGCCTGGCTAAGTTCCTTATGTGTAATATAGGGAAAATATTTCTCTCTCTCGGAACAAGGTTGTGAGGCCCCCGACACCACAGTGAACACAGTTAGGTAAGTACCCTGCTATGATCCACTTGTACAAAAGCACACCCTAGAGAACATCTTTCTCCTCCAACTCCCAGTCCTCCTAAAAACCTACTTAATTACCCCTCAGGGACAGGGGTAATTAATTTTAAAAGCAGCAAGTTCCCAACGAAGCTTTCTTCTCCGACAGGCTAGTTTGTCACTCCTTCCTTTTTTTTGGCTCCTAGCCTTTCTGTCATAGGCTCCTGCTGCTTTGGGAGGGCAGTATTTCTTATCACTAGCAAGCAAGACTTCAATGAAGTGTAAGTGTTTATTGCCTGTGCCGGTACAGTGGCAGATCTCAGCAAAGATGGGGGTGGCAAGCAAGCAACCACCTTCCTGAGTCTGCAGGCATGCTTCAAACTGGGAATACAACAGCGAGGCCTCCATCTCCAGCTGCCTTGAGAAGCCCTGGGGTCAACCCTGGAGTGGCTTCCCTGGGGCTGGAGCCTTCCTGAAGGCTCGGGTGCTTAGGGCTTGCTGCAATGGTCAGGAGCACACCTAGGACCTGCCACCAGGAAGATTACAGGCAAACTTTGAAATGGCCTGAAGCACCTGGCACAGGTTCAGCAGTCTTACAAAACAGACAGCTTATTAAATGTGGCTCATAAACATTATAGTAGGCCCAGAGGACTTGCCCCAGTTCCAGTCATCAGTGGCACCAGTGCAGACTTGTGTAAACCACTGCATAATTTTAAACCCTCAGCCTCTGCATGCCCAAGTTCAGGATAACATCTACTCACAGGTTGTGAGAATGAATACATTGTTCTCAAGATATTTATCTTTTCTGAGGAGAGCCCATCCCTGATGGCAACTCTCCCTGGGAATAGGTTTTGGGTGCATTAGCTATTATGTTCTCTGAGCACCAGATGTGTTTTCCTGCATCAGAGCCCGTATCAAGGTGCTGTTTCATGTGTGCTTAGCATTGCTGCCATGAGAGTTGCTGTTAGAAGTACAGCACCCTACTAAATATTATGTGCTGCTTTTTCTTCTTTTTTTTAGTCCACCCTGGGATTTATTGCTTTGGTCATCAGCACCCTTCACACGCTCACCTACGGATGGACAAGGGCCTTTGATGAAAACCAATACAAATTCTATTTGCCTCCAACCTATACCCTGACACTACTGGTGCCATGTACTGTCATCCTTGCTAAAGTCTTCTTTCTCTTGCCCTGTGTCCGCCAAAGACTGCTGCGTATCAGGAGGGGCTGGGAAAAGGGTAGGTATGTGAAATTCACCCTGCCCAGCGCGACTGGGGAGTTTTCAAGTGGGGAAACTTCCAGTAATGTGTAACAAGGCACTTCTTCTTGGGGAAGATAACAAAGCACTATGAAGATTTCTAGAGTTCAGCTGTATATGTTTGGTATAATTGTATTGTGGGTAACTATAGGCATCTTCAGTGACTTTAGAAAAATCAATTACCACGGAACTAGTTTATGCAGAAGTATTTAAAGTATATTGCTGATTTCCTAGTAAAGTGTTGCCTTAAAAATCACCATGACACTGGAGCTAGCTGCTCTGAATATAGACAGAATGAATACTAAGGAAGTCCAGAGGTTGCAGTGGTTAGTTGGGAGTATAGATGGTGGTACGCTGTACTGGTAATTCTCTATTGCAGCCCCATATACACCCACAGGATTTAAATGCTTATTTCAAGTGGGAGGGGGCATAGACTTTCTTCTTGCCCGCGCTCCACAAGGACAAGGAAATCCATCTCTAGATGACCCAAGGAAAGAAAGCCTGAATCTACTGAACTGAAAAGATGGCTCTGAGATGTGCAGTGGGGTTTTTTTGTTTTTTATGTTTTTTTCTTTCCCCATCACTGGGGAGTGGACATGAAGGTGAATGAGGACAAGGTAAGTTTTGGCCTTAACTGTTTCAGGTATGCAGTAGAAATGTCCAGGTACTTTGCGAGTTGCTGGAGAAGCTTCTGAAGCTGACCCAGGGACTCAGCAAACTAGAGAGCAAGTCTAACTAGCCCCTACTTTTGAGGGCAAACAGGGCATTTCTACTTCTGCAAATAGTGTCAGTGTAGGTGCATTTAAATGGATATGGGAAAGATGATCTCTTTCCAAAGGTGGTAAAAGCATTAGGTTCTGAAAGTCAATAATGTGCCTGAAGTGCATTTATACCTTAAAATAATCCATGGGAGCCATTACTGTCACATGTTCTCAGTTTTTATGAAACCAGAGTTGTATGCATGACCTAGTAGCGGAAAAAACACAGACCTAAATTTTCCAAAAGGACTCGCAGCCTTGCAATACTAATTCAGAGCATTGGGGAACTAGTGGCTAGCAGAGCAAAATGCAAGAACTGAGGTCAGGTGGTTCAAAACTACACTCTCTATTGGATCCAAAACATTTCCAACAGTTTCTACAGCAGCAGCTTTCACTACCAATGAAGACAAGGCAAAACGTTCTTATCAAGGATGCAACTTGTTATTCCATCACCAGGTCTCAATCATGGAAAGGGCAGAGATCAGTGACACATGATGCGCCTAATTCTCCGCAGCCCTGCACACTGAAAAATTCTTCAGGGACAGGTCCAAGGGACTGAATAGATTGATTTTGATGGAGGTTGGGGGCCTAAATATGAGTTAGGCTTGTTTTGCACAGGGCTCATGGCCACAGAGAACAATGGAGAACTAAATCATATTGTTCTCTCTCTTCCCTCTGTTCGCCATCCATTTGAACACTTGGAGCCAGGTCCAGTTCTGCCTCTTAGACATCTCAATAGGCCTAGACACCCAGGAGTGATCCTGCATGAGCCCCTAAAAACCATTAACACATCTACTTTGGTAACAGGCTGCTACCAAGCTGTAAGACTGTCACAGAAAGCAGCAAAGAGAAGGACAGACTCACGTTTTGCATTAATGGATTGTCAGGGTCTTGAGCAGAGTGGAATAGAATCCCACTTAGACACATCACTTCACTTACACATTTAGTAGCTGCATAAGGATCTGGCTCCTGCCCTTTATCACAATGATCCTTCAGCCTGTGGGCAGTACAGATTCATGTTCCACCCTGAATGGCAGTAAAATGTCATCTCAGGTGCTTTACAGATTTGCAGGGCGAGGCAGTTGAGAGCTAGAGACACAGGGAGATTGTCTTAGGAAACATATGATAGGAACTGGTTGCAATAGCTTGGTTTTCCTACAAAAGAACAGAATATATAGGTCAGTGCTGGATAGTGCCTAGAAGACACATGTTAAATACCTCAACAATGGGAGGATTTTTAAAAGCAGCAGTGTAGCCTTAAAGTGTCAGCAACGGCAATGACTTTCCAACTCCACAGACCAGAGATGATAACCCAGAATTTCAGTTGTTTCAAAAGGACAGCATTGAAATCTCTAAACAATCCCTTTTTTCTTACTAAATAAAAGGAAATGAGGGTAAGTGAGAGAAAATGAGGATTTCACCATCAATAATTTGGTTGTAAGACGGGAGGTGTTGTGCATTCCTGCTGTGTCTTTCAGGGCAAATCGGATTATCCCGAACCTCTGTGCTCCAATTGTAATCTGCTAAAATTGCTCACAAAAGCAAATAGACTTGGCAGCAATATAAGCAATCACCTGGCAAACAATAGCTTCTGCAGGGATTTGAGTCAGTGCAGGTGGGGAGGGGAGAGGAACTCCATTCACTTCAGTTTAACTCTGTTTGGAGGCAACTTTGCATCCAGCAGGATTGTTCATTCCAGCTTCCTGTTCAATTCTCTTATCAGGCAAAGCTGACTTTATAAAGAGTGCCACTTTTCACATTTTCTGGCTAACAGAAGGCATCCTGATCCCAATGTCTTCTCTCACAATTAAGTTTCCTCTCTCTCCTCTTTAGCAGGTAACCTGGCAGAAATACCTCATTAGCCAAAAGAGGAGAGGGAGAGAAAGTTATTTGAGATGGAGGCTTTGTCTTCAATGCAAAAGAAGTGTGGTGCTTGACACCAAGAGAACTAGAAGTAAAAACTCCAATGCTTCCTCGCTGAAGGCAAGGTTTGCACGATGTGCACTTCCGGCTCACCCTGACACAGGCCAGTGTTCCCATTGACATCACAGGCCCTGCTCACATGAGGAAGAGTAAGGGAGTTGGGTACATGCAAACACTTGAGGATCTGGGCATGTCTAAATGGCTTCCCCAGTGCCTCCCAGAGCCTTGCTCTCAAAAATCCTCTGCTCACCCGCTCTTGTGTGCGCATGGCAAGCCTGGAAATGAAGCCATTAAGAGGGTGCCCCCTGCCCACTGTTCAAGCACTCCAGAGACAGATTTCTAGAACATGCTGATGGGCAGGGGAGAGGGGCACCCTTACCGCAGACTCACTGCCTTGTTTCTGGGGGAAGAGCAGGAGCGGGGAGGCAAGATTTTCGTGAGCGGATACCCTACGGCTTGGCAGGCAGCCGTCTGAATAGCACACCCACAGCTCTTCAAGATTGAAACGAATCCATGTCTTTCCGTACAGACCATGAAGTCCTTACAAGTGCAACTTTTAAAATGGCAGTCTCCTTTGGTGTCTATTTACAAATTCCTTGACATGCAACCATTTCAATAAGTTATTCTGACTTTGTAGAAACAGAAAAGTGGTGAGATAAATTTGTAAATGATCTTTGCTTTTTTTAAGTTTTTTCCCCACTGCATTATTTGATGTGGATAGGAGGTATGAGTGAAGTTAGCTTAAAGATGTCCTTGTTACATTTTTTGTACTCAAAAATACTATGTGTATATATGTGTATATATATATATTTTGCTGCAAAATTTATAGCTGAAACGTATACTCTTTGTATTTTTATTTTCTGTACTGCCTACTTTGTGCCTCTAGAATATATATATATAAACATACTAAAAAGCTATAAAAAAAACAGGGCCAGTTTAGTCTGTCATCATTGGCCTCTTATTCTTATATAGATGTATAAAGATACTATAATGGTCTATAAAATGGTATCACTCATTTGTGCCTACTGTCTTTCTTTCTAGAAACAATACAATGTTAATCTTAGGCATCTTTCTATTAAATAAAACCCTCAGACAAGTGATATGATTATCCATAATTTAAATATGCAAGAACAGAAAACTCACTAAAGCAGTGTTTCTCAACCTTTTTGGGCTCAGGGCACCCTTCATTGGACTAGAGCACCTCTCCACCCCCATAGTTTTTGTGAACTGAGCGGCACCCAATTTGAAAACCTAATTTATATATTACAGCGCTTACCTCTTTGCCAGAAAGCTAGGCAGAGGAGTGGGGGTTCCTCTGGCAAGTACAAGCCTGAGCCTGGGCTTAATCTGCCTCTCTCCTCATCCCTCTTATCTCATGGCACCCTTCAAAGGGTCTGGTGGCACCCTGTACTACAGCAAGCAAGTGGTGCCAGTTATTGTCATGAATATGCAGTTAGCAAAACCAATTCTCTGATCTACAATATGTTCTTTTGTCTCATGCATATCACAGAATTGTGCACATTTTTGTATTAGTTGCCTCTGAAATGAGATCTGTTTGTAACTGTGAGGGATACTGGGTGCTGGCTATTCCACAAACATTTGCAGCTCGGGGACAGTAGAATTTAATGTGGTAATCACAAAGTTACCGTTGATATAAAGAACCAGGGTACAGATGAGTCTGGCTGGCCTACAGAGAAGATGGATGCCACACTTGTCTTTCTGGCCTCCATTTCCTAAATCACAACTTCATGGAAACGGGATGCCAGGTCCACCAACTTCTAGACCTGCAGTGTAGCATTTTAATGAGCTAATTTGTAAGTTGATTTTAATGAGTTCATTTAAATTCATGTGCTGAAGCTTAACCTCTGCAGGTACAGCTAACTCACTCCTGTATTATAATATGAGGCTTTTAACAGTGCAATTGGTTTCCTATTCTTCAGGGCTTTACTTACAAAGTGATGAATCAAACATGGTTAAATCTGAAGTGAGATACAATTGTTTGCACACTGCTAGAAGATGCTGCCTAACCTAGAAAAAAAGTGTACTAGCTATGACACAAAACCAGTTACAAAATTCTGATGCATCCTGTATCTCAAAATTGAACGCATCAGGTTGGAATCTGCAGGCTGTGTCTTCGCTTTGAAACAACAGATTTGTTACACTAGGGAAGCTCTGCTTTTATTTTTAACATCACTGCAGATCTGCCATACTAAGGTTCCTGCTTCAAAAAGCTTCTGAGCAGAGGTCAAAGCCAGAGAAGTTCAAATTAAACATGCACTGTTCAGTAGGACAGTACAACATAAGCTTAGCTGTTCTTGTTGTGGGAGCAAATGAATCACTTTCCACTGACTTTTATGGTTGGAAAGGACCAATTATGATCATCTTGACTGATCTGCATAATATCAGCCACTAAATTTGATGGATCCTGCAATATACCACCCAATGAGCTACGGTTGCACTGAAGCCTCTCAAAAAGACCTCCAATTTGGACTTAAATAGTGGAAGCTGCTTGAAGTCTCCTGTTCTTGGATAAGCCATTCTGCTGGCTATTTACCCTCACTGTCAGATATCTGGCCCATATATCTGAGTGGAGTTTATCTAGCTTTGAATTCTTGTTATGCAGCTGTCTGCTGGATGAAAGAGCCCTCTGCTATCAGAGATCTGCACTTAAATAGCTGTTTCATTCAGCACTCCAGAGGCAGAGTGGGAACGCAAAAGTTGAAAGAGCGCCAAGGCTGCTTGCTGCCAAGCTGCGGTTTCTCCAGGCTCACCTATTAGTAATTACCTGTGACATGGGCCTTCACCTCTAACCATTCATTTGGCTCTAGACAAAGTCATTGACTAAAGGCCATTGATCTGAATCTAGTTCATGCCAGACACAGAGCCCAGCATACAGCAGCATAGCAAATAGCTTCCCAAACGTATTTTCCCTTTATTCCAACCCCCAGCACAACCCCTGCTGCACAGCTGAAGACACTACGAGCTGTTTTCAGATTACTGGAAAATTGTATCATTCAATGGAGGCAGACTTGGAGGCATAGGGACGAATGCAGGGGTAAACTAGTAAACAGACTTTGCATTATTTTCTGATGTTTTCAATGCATGTTTTTT